AAACAGTGCATATGATTATATTTGCTAACACTGACAACTTTATTTTTAAAAACTGTGCAGCTGGACCTGTGTTCCTCATCACCTTGTATTGTTCCTCTGGCTCCAAAGAATATCTGTGGGCTGAGGTGGGAGCAATCCTGTTGGCAGCAGCTCTGATATAGATTGGTCTCTGTGAGATGAGATCCCCAGACTTCTGCCAGTTCCTTGTCAACAGCAGAGAGGAAAAACACTCAGTAGGAAACAGGCTGGACTCTGCCTGTGCCTGCAGTGCTCTGCTGGTTTGCAGCCCCAGGGGAAGACAGCAGTGCCTGTTAGCTGTGACCTGCAGCCCCCAGGGAGGGCTCAGCACCTCTCTCAGGACACTAAAATCCATCACTGATATGTAGATTCTGGAGATTTTGGGCGTTGCTGGAGGTTGAGCAGTGTATTAATGGTAAAAGTGTAAAAAGTAGCTGCTGTAGTATTTCATGTGTAACAGTTACTCTGTTGTCTATGCTCTCTTACTCAGTAGTAATTCTCCAAAATTATTTGAGAAAATGCACTGTAGGAAACTCTTCTATTTGTATACAAACTCTACACTTGCAGGTTCTCTCTAGACACTGAATCAGGTTTTTTGATCACTTTGACTGCATGGAAGAACCTGGCCTTGCCTATGAGCAAGTGCTCCCCAAACCTGTTGTGCCAATTTTATGTTTGGTGCTTAACTGAGGGGTGTTCACTTGGCCTCTGAGTTGGTCCATCTGGTGAAAGGTGTGAGGCTTTAGGGATGATGAATCCTTCAAGTACTGGAGCATATGAATAATTTAAAAAGTGAGTGTTGTGTTTTATGTAGCAGTGTAACTACAGATGTAAGATGTGCTTAAATCACGCTGCCCTTTAAGTACTGCAAACATCTCTGGCTTCAAGTGACATCAGCTCATGATAACCTTTCTAATAATTCCCACAAATTCATTTAAATATTACTGAAAAATACAAGAAAACCTGGATTTTTTTTCAAAGCTAGAATGCTTTCAAAAATGAAGGAGAAAAATTGTATTTGAGCCAGTCCTAGTAATGAGCATTTGTGTAAATGCTCGTAAAACCTTCCTGCTGCTGAGCAGCAAACGTGCTCCAAACAGCTGTGCTGTGTCAGGCTGAGGAGCTCAGCCTCTGTGTGGGACATGGAAAAACAGCCCACAACCAAAATGGGTACGAGCTCAAGGCAATGTGATCCTTTGGTGTGCTCTTCCAGTTACTGGCAGCCTTTGGTTTAGGAAACTCCCCGAGCCAGGATTTGCATCTGGAATGTAATCGAATAGTCCTCTCTGGGCTTTGCTTCCATCTATTCTTCTCCATGGCTTTTGGAGTCCATTTATGCTGCTGGCCAACATCCTGTGTAAATGCATTTGGCTGGCTGGGGTTGTGTAAGTTTTGAGTTTGAACTGTTTGATAACTCATATTTGTCTAGCAAGGGGAAGGAGAAAAATAGTCTTTGTCTAGTCCCTTTCTGCAAGTGGTTTGTAATTTCTCTGGATTTCTTGTGTGTTATGCCTTAGCTGTCTTTTCAAATCTATGGATTTCTATATTTAGCATTTTTTTCTGTATAAGATGTGCTGCTTCATGAGGTAGATCTCATCACACTCTTGTTTCACCTTTTTCTTTCTTCTACCCTGATTCCATTCAGGTTTTGTGCATGCCAGGGATTTATGCAGTGACTTGAATATATTAAAATTATTAAGAAAGGAATGGAACAGAGAATTTCCTATTTTTTTTCCTCCCTAGCTGGTGCTTCCATTATGCTGCTGGTTTTCTATTTTCTAATGCCTGACACTATCCTTATCTGTGACTTTTAATTCTTTCCATCTATGCTTATTCTGGGTCCTGCTTTAAACTGCACCACAAAAGCTTTAAAATCAGTTGAAGTGTTCAGAAGCTTGTTTCCCATCTAAACGTGTTGCTTCATTTTTTCCATAGTCCAAATTTGAGAACAGAATGGTAATTAATGGTACTCAGCCTCATAAATGAAAGAGTGAGTTGATTTTTCTATAGTCACAAAAAATCAGAAAAACTGTCAGGAAGGGGGTAGGAAAAGTGTCTTGCTTGTATTTCCAGTAAGTGGAAACCTTTCCTATGGTGACTTGCTCTGCAGATTAATGAGGCAGGGATTATCAAATGCTCAGTGAGCTTGCAAAATACAGTGTTACCAGTAAGTCTGAGATGTGAGAAAAGGAGTACACAGCATCTAAATTTAGTGTTTTCTGTTTCTCCTCATCTTTCTGACATCTGTTTGTAGCATTTATGGAACTGTTTTGTGGAGATGGAGAAATGTTAAGTTTAGATTCATTTTACTGGGGATTTTGCTGAGTCACACTTTTAACTGCTAAGAGTTGGGCAGAAGAAACATTGACTATTTTGCTCATTATGTGAAGCTTTCATTCCTGATGTGTTTTAGAGACACATGTTGAAGCAGATGTGTTCTAAAAATTATGAGAGATGCTGTAGGTGTGCATAGGACAGCATTCCTGCTAGTTTCTCTCCTGTGTTTTTATTTCCTTCATGCAGTGTGTGTCTGTTTGTCAGTGCTGGTGTCCCACTACTGAATCACTTTGTCCCAGATCAGGCTCTGCATGTGACTTGGTGGCAGCATCTGGAACAGTCAGAGCAATGCTGATGCCACGTGCTCCCCATGGGTGCCCTTACAGTGGTTAATCCACTCCCATGGCTCTGTGGGACCTGACTTTAGTTCCTTTTTTTCCTCAGGGAGGGTCAAACCTGCATTTCCAGCGAGCAGCAGATAAGTGACTATTCCAGGACTGGAGCAGTCTGTACGCCCTTGATTGAAACTGTTCTGTGGTTTTCTCCACACAAATAATGAAACTTTCCCTAACAACAAACAGCCTCTTGAGAGCCTCCATGTCTCCAGCAGGAGCAGGGAAGGTCAGGACAGCAGTGTGGGGAAATGCACTTGGACTGAGGTCCCAGACTCCTTTATCCAAGCAGGAGTTGTGCAGAGCTGCAGGCACTCCTTTGAGAGGCTGTGCAGGGCTGTGGGGTGCAGAAGGGTTCAACCAGCCCCAGGAAGGTCAGAGCTGTGTGGGCTGGGAGCTCTGTGCAGGGCCCAGGGCAGTGAGGGGACAGGGTGACCCACGGGGGATGGACGTGGCCCTTGGGGACATGGTGGCCCTTGGGGACATGGTGGCCACTGTCCCACACTGTGCTGATTAACCATTTCATACACAGCAGCTCTCACTGAGCAGAGACAAACCTGGCATGAGACACCTAGAAATAACCCTTGTCCTGCTGGGCCCAGTCACAACAATCCTCTGGAAAAATCTCCCAAGGTCTTAACTGGGCATGGCTGGGAGCTGACCCTGCCTTCCAGGTGCAGCCAAGATGGGAATGTGTGCAAGGGTGGTCTGCAAAAGTGTTTGAAGCTGTGAGGTGCCATGGAGGCATCTGCAATTCAGAGACAGAGCCTTATAAGTGATTTTCATGCTTCTGTTTGCTAGTGCCCTTCAAATAACCATTGAAAGACTTCTGTTAATAAAGGGATAAACTCTGCAACTGGGAATGAGAGTTGGCTTTTAGTTTGTATGACAGTTACTAAATAGTTATGTCTGGAATTTAAAGCATCAGTTGGTAAATATATTTGATTTTAGTCTTTTCATGGTATTGTGGAGATACATTCTCTATTTCATGAGAAAAAGTAACAATCAGGAGTGAATCATAAATATTTACATTTTTGGGAAGCTGCTGTTCAGGAGCACTGCTGGCTAGTGACAACCATGACACTTCACTTTTCCGATTCTGTGACACTCCACTAAGCTGCTTCTCACTTCCCTCTCTAATCTTGGTTGCTGTTGGGAAGTTGTTGTTGTTGTTGTGTGGTGCTGCTAAAGGACTGGAGAGCAGAAAAGTTCAAGTGTTAATAAAACATACGTGCAGTCTTGATAGCTTAAAGTGTGCAAAAAAAGAGATCAGTCCAGTAATGTGGAGGTTCTTGTGAGTAGCTGTGGAAACAGAACTTCACTTCTGGAGATTTTTTTATTTTATTTACTTTGGTATCTCTAGAACCAAAGATCAACATAATGAGGAAGGTAATCCAGTATAACCCAGGGATTTTACCTGTGAATTCAGTGGTACTTGAGATGCTGAGTCACCATTAGCAGATCTGTCCATTACTGAAATGGGGCTCACTATTGAGAAATAAATATTGGCCATTGGAAGCCATTTACTGCAGGTGAAGTTAGAGTCAAGACTGAAGTTTCAAATTTCTTTAACCTCATGTGTTTGGCTTATTGCCATGAATATGAAATTAGGTTTCCATAAAAACTGAAAAATGTGACAAGAACCAGCTCAGTAATCCTGAATTGAATTTGAGAACTATATCTCTTTACTTCTAGATTTCTTTTCCAGTATTAGAATAGCAAAGCCTACCTGTCACACACTGCTTGGCAAATGTGTGGCAAGTTCAAAAAGTAAGCTGAGTCTCAGGGAAAACTGGATCTACTTTCCTGAGCCTGGTAGTTTGGAATCTATGCAATGTCTTCAGTCCTGTGATGCTCCTCTGATCTCCCTAATGCTTGAGAAAGCTGGGATGTCCTTTTTGGTGTCAGAAACCCAAATGCAAAGGAAAAGATGGAAGAAAATGGTTTCAGGCGTGGTGTTACTGCTAAAACTACAGCTATGATGATCACACACCAGTTCCCAGACACTTTTCTTAATTCCCAGACACTTTTCATGCTCTCACTGATGTTTACTTTCATTATCTGTTGGTAGCGCTGCTTGTTGCCATAAGCTGTCGCCGCTAATACTTTTTCCACCTGGGGGAATATTTTGTGGCTAAATTGCTTACAGAAGCAGGCTCTATCTTACTTCTGTTGGAGATGTTGCAATAAACAATGTTTTTGCTTCTCTCCTAAGTTCAGTATCACCAGAACAAGTGTCAAAAAAATAATCTTCAAGTACCTTCAAGTCCTCAATCTTCATTCACCGACTTTCTTCTCTGATTCGTTCCTTAGGGCTGCAGGGTTCTGGTTGACGCACGGGACAAGCTGGGGATCCCTTGGCAGTACACAGAGAATGAGAAGCATGGGATGTTCCTGATGGCCTTTGAGAACAAAGCTGGGATGCCCATCGAGCCTGCCACCTTCCAGCTCTACGTCCCTGCCCTGGCTGCTCTCTGGAGGGATTCAGGAATCAAGGAAGCCTTCAGCCGCCGCAGCGAGTACCAGCTGGTGAGTACACCCAGCTCCTCGCTGGGAGGAGACAAGTGCTGCACTGTAAATCTCTCTTCAGCTCAAACACAGCTTGCTACGTGCAAGATGGAGCCACCCTGTTAGCTGTTTGTAGGAGTGCTGTAAATCTGAGCACTTCAGCAGCAGAAACAAGTGGTAATTGGAGCCAAACTTGAAAAACTACATGGCAGTAAGAGGGAGTGGAAAAGTGCACATGACTGGATAAACTGGAAGAGCAAGAGGAACCAAAAAAGGCAGGAATTGGTTGAACTAAAAATATTTTAGCAGCTCAGTAGGTCTGTTCATAGTAGGTCACTGATGAAGGCACACTTAATTTGTAACTTTCCAGTCCTGCCAGCTTGCACTATATTGACACTGGCAAACTCTTCCTGCATGCAGCTCTTTTGAAGTGAATGCAGCACCCATTCAGGCTGCTGCTCCCTGACTGTTTCTTTTCATCCTGATGTCTGCAAGTGAAACTTGGATAAGCAACTGAAAGATGACAGTGAGCATAAAAATGTGCTCTCTTCTCTGCTTTCTTGTTGTTAGGTCTTCATGCTCTTGTGCCAAAATAGCTGCACTTCTGGTATGGGATATGTTTCTGACAGCTGTTCATAATCCACTCCTTTTTCTTCATATGTACAAGATGGAGAGGATTTTTTTTTTCCTTCTCTTTTTCTTCCCTGTTCTGTGGAGCAAGGTACTGATCCAGACAGCCTGGTACCACAACTGCTATGTTATCATGGTTTAATTAGAGGGGTTAAAGGACAGAAACAGGGCTTTGTATGGTCTCCTTTAGATTCTTTTACAAAGGGAGTTGATACAGCTGAAGGAGAAGGAGAACTAGAGAAATTGGATAGTGAAATTCTGATTGTTCCCTCATGCTGCTTCTCTGTGTGGGTTCTCTGGTGTCTGGTACTGTAGTTAAACTCATGCTGCAGCCCTTAGCTACTCATCTGTCTCCACTAATAAGATGCCTGTTTGAGTCTTGTTGTTGCATATCTTTGAAATCTGTCTCTGAAGTATCATGAGACTGCCAAATAGGTAAAGAACAAATGAAATGAAGTAAAGCTGTCGCAGGATGATGGGATAAACCTCACTTCCTTAGGCTAAAAATGAAACAATTTCCATGTTACAGCACTGGGGGTGGGGGGAAGGATGTGCAGGGGGAGAGAGGATGGATTAATTGTTCTATTATTCCTAGCATCTGTAGACACAGGCTTTGCTGTTCTAAGCACTGTGGAATAAAAAGATGGCTCGTGCCACAGGGAACTTGAATTTGCCATGAAACAACTGCTAAGAGAATCCAGTATAGGAAGCAATAGTTGCATCAGCAGCCTGCTAAGATTGTTTATTTTTTTCCCTGGGAAATGCTATGGTCAGGCATGGATTTTGTTTGTAGGGAGAGATTCAGATGGGGATCATGTGGGAGGTTCATTCCTGTACTGGTTAGCAATAAAAGTAGTATCAAACTGGGGGGAAGAAAGTCCTATTTGTTGAATAAATTGTGTTCCAAAAGTAGCAGGCCTACCTCTGCATTCCCTGGCTTAGAGGGTTAAACAGGAAATAGCAAAAAAATAAAAAAGCCCCACAGAAACAAAGCAGAGAGGCATGCAAGGGATCATTTGAGAGGCTGTCATCCTCAACATTGTGCTGCAGTTCCATGGTGCATCCTTTTGGATGCCACTGGTGTCACCTGGGCGGTGTCACTGGGGCACCTGGAACTGCTGCAGGCTCCAGGGCTGTTACCCTGCCAATACTGCAGCCACCTGTGTCACAAAAATTCTGCAACTCCACCCCAATCCTGCATCTGTGGCACTGGCAGCATGAAAATCTGGGTGCTGTGATTTTATTGTGCAGGCTGCATCACCAGGGGATCAGGAAGTGCCTCACTTGTGACTAAATAAAAGCACTTGGCTACGTAAAAGGTTTATAAATGCTGCTTCTGGATTGAACAAATTATTAACACCTCAATACTTTGAACAAGTTTCCATATCTTGCTTCTAAGTTCAGCAGAAGTCTGATTCCCTCAATATATGGGAATAAGCAACTGTACAATCCTTTAAAAAAATTAAAACTACATAATGTTTTAAAGAAAGAGATGGTTTAAGGAGATGCCTAATTTGTAATTGCATATGATATGTATAAACCCATACCTTCATTTAGTTTAAACCCTTGCTGGATATAGACTTGTGTAAATAAATAGAAGCCAGATATAGTGGACTCTGAGAAAATAAATCTTTTCTGAACTGATTTTAACTCAGGCTAAAGAAAACCTCTGCATCAGCACTCTCTTTCTTCCCTAGTATAAGCAAGTTATTAAATGGAATATGCTTGGTTTAAACTGAATTTATTATCTTTAAAATAGTTCTTAAATCATCACCAAAATGTTGCAGCTTTACATTACTGTGATCTTTCTGTATGTGCCTTGACACTGTTTGAAAAAACAACCCCACTCAGCACTGGCATTTTCTTCACCCTCCTCTTGCAGTCAACTGAACAGCAGCTTTTTTTATAAATCATTGTTGTTATTTTGGCTTCAAAGCTGTAGGATTATTGGTCTGCTTGTGAATGTTCTGCTTCTCCAGGAAGCTGTGGGGCTGTTAAAAAGTAAAACACAGCAGTTGCTTGGTTGGTTTGGTGACTAGAGCTGGAAATTGCAGTGTGCAGGTGCCTTCCTATGGTCTGCAATGCCCAGCTCAGTGACTGACTCAGCAGTAGCAAACTTGTTGAAAGAAAACAGCTCTGACCATAACCCTGTGCAATCTAAAAGCTGCTTCTCTGGCACCACAGAAGCTGCCTCTGGGCATTTGAGTGTTTTCTGCTTCATTCTCAGTGCCTACAAGTGCTGGTTGTAAATCCCTGTCTGGGTCTTTGAGCATTTCAGAAGTGAGTGGGTGGATTCTACAATAGAAGGCTGCTTTTTTTTTTTTTTCTTTTTGCCTTTGTCTTCCCAGCCTCTCTTAAAGCAGACGAACCAATTTTGCTTTCTTTTTACAAACATCAGCCTCTCTCTCTTCCCCTACCCCAGCCAGTCCCCACCAACCCAAGTTCCTCTGTTCCTTGTATGGGAGCCAAGTAGTTTGGGGACAAAAGCTCCATTGTATGTTTGCTTCCATTGTCACGTCTGTCCTCGTTTTTTAACTACTGGAATAGGAATTCCTTTGTAATCAGAATGGGATTCTTCTCCCTTCTCCCCTGGCCTCATTATCCCCCCACCCATTTTCTGTCTGGGTGCTCAAAAGGAATATTTTGGTCCTGGGGATGTTTGTTCCTTGGAGGGTGCCCGTGGTAGTTTGGGCAAGGGGCTGCAGATCCCCCAGTCCCAGCAGGAGGAGACAAATCCCACAGGGAATGTTCCTGGGGAGCAGGAGGCTGGGAGCTTCTGCAGTTTCAGCCTAATGGCAGCTGCTGGGGTGTATTTGGGAGTTTGGCTGCTTGTGTCTGCAGGCTCTTTTTCACCCACTACTGACATTTCCTTTTATGCTATAAACCATGGTGGCCAAGGCCAAGGTAGGAATTGCTTTGGTCGTGTGGTTTCTGTTTTGGTTTGTGGTTCGGGGGTTTTTTGGTTTTTTCCATCCTCTCAGGTCTTTACTGTGAGAATGTGAGAAGCCATTCACTTCTCTTTAATGTGCCCAGAACAAAAAGTGACACAAGGTTAGATACTCTTTTGGCTTCTTGCAGCTTGGTGTGCTTGATGTCATTGTGGGTAAAGATGGGACAAATGGGGCTTGTCAGGGAAAAAAATTATATTTTTGTCACGAGCAGAACAGATGGATAATGATGAGCAGATCTGCCAAGGCCATCATGTGCCTTTATCAGTTCTTAGAGCAAAATTGACATTGTTGTTATAAAAAATATGTTCATGATCCATCACCAGAATATCAATTGAGATTGTTATCGATGTATTAATATTATTATTGATGTTCCCTGCAGTGTTAAAAGACTTTCTGGTGTTTTAATAGCTCTTTTTAAAAGAAAAAATAAATGTCAGCATTAATGGGAAGTTGTGGTTCCTGAGAGGGAAGTAAGTCTCTTGCAAATATAGACAAAAACCTTAGTACTGTGTCCATAGCTATTTTTAGCTGTGTGCACAGGGAATTGTATGGAACGCTTCCATTAATACTTCAAATACTGAGAGCCTCTGAAGCCTTGCTTGTGGGAAGACTCTGGAAAATGTTTTAAAGACCCTTTCTTTTATATTCATTCACCATTCTCTGGGTGAGAGTGAGGGGGAATTGGGGGATATTTGCAATAGCACATGGGTCACCCCTCTGAGAATTAACTGGGGGGTTTGCTGTTTTTCTTTTGAGCAGCCCCTGGCATTGGTTGAATTCTGCCTGCCAGGACAGCAGTGAGCACTGCAGAGGGAGCAGCCTCCTCCTCGGGGTAGCAGAGCTTTGTGCTGCCTCCTCCCCATGCAAGGAGCTGATGGCTTCAGAGCCCCACAGGCAGTCAGCTGTGTGCTCTGGCCAGTGTGCAGGGGAGGCACCAGTTATTCACACTAATTCTTGGTTCAGGGTAGACAAACTGTGGCTTCAATGTCTTTATTTTTGTACAGAAATGATGATGCAGTGATGTAATCAGGAGTTGGGCTGTACGTCGGCCCCTGAAGCACTGGGAGATTTTGTGGCAGCATTTGGCTGAAGCCAAGTGAATTGAGAGATGGGGCAGCAGAAAATTGACTTAATGTGAGAAGTAGGTGACTTTGAAGTGACACATTCAATGAAATCTACAGCAGTGGGCTGTATTTTGTGAGAATTCTTCAGTGCACTTTAACAGCGGTTTCCTGAATCCTGAAGCACAAAGTTTCCAACGGATGATTTCTCTTTAAGATGCAGTGGCAGAGCAGAGGCAGCCCCAAAAGCATGTTTGTAGGCAATTTGCTCTCTCAGCACATATGGCAGAGCCCTGAAATGCAGGGATGCTTGTGCCTGGCATTGCTGTAAATCACTTTGCACTTGAGGAAACACCGAGTGTCAAATCAAGCCCAGCTT